TGGGGCCCACCACCCTTTCCCCTACCCCCTCCCCCACTCCACCCCGGTCGCTCAACACAAAGGAAATATGCCACCGCAACCCAACAAGCACAGTTGTAGAGGGAAAGAAACATATGTTGAGAGAGGATGGATGAAGAGAGGGAAAATATACAAACTAACAAAAGTAACGTACACTGTAGAGAAAAAGATCGAAGAATGGGTTATATTGCCCAAACAGTCCCCACTCCTTTATTCATTTCATTCCTGCCCCGGAAACTTTATCTCTTTGGCGTTTGACAATGTCAAGAACCAAAAGAGGAAACTTGAGATAGCGATTTGTAGCCTCAAATTTTGGTGCCACGAATTACGAAGTATGGATTTAGTCTTCAGATTCAGTTAGGAAAATCCTGGAGTTACCTAACATTGTAGCGTAATGTCATTTTGACAATAAAGAAAAAAAATGTTGGACCACTTTTTTGTCAAATTTGTCCAAGAATGCGTCTTTATTAAAAATAAAGTAAAATAAATAAATGAGAATAAACCACTCTTTGTTGTACATTACCTTTTGTGACGAACTTGTCTCATGGGAGTAGTTTAATACGTAGTACAATAGTATTTGTCATATTTTAGCGGAATTTATATAGTCAAAATGTTTATTTCAAAACACGTTGATATGATAAATGACTCACAAATTCTCACCTTTTCAGATTAGTAGATTCTGATCATTTATCATCTCAATATGTTGCATAGTGAGCGTGCTCCATAGAGAACACGTTGGTGTGGTACATATATTTACTTCATATTTTAGTGTACATACATTTTAGAAGTTGCAATTTGCTAATATGAACCTATTAATACTAGTGTGTTGCCATTATTTATTTAGATAATAAAAGCACAATATAGTTAAGTTCCTTGCTCTATCTTTGAAACTGTCTCCTGCGGTCAGTTTCCAAATTAACTTAAGAACCGTCCCCAAAGTTTCGATCAATAATTAATCTTGTCAAATGCTACGTAAATCTATTCACCTATATAACTTATAAACCAGCCACAATATTAAATAAAATGAAGATGTGACGTTTATAATAGAGTATGATCAACTTAGCATTTGTTCACCATAATGTTTCGTTGTGTAATGTAATAAATACATATGGGGTACTTTTAATTTGTAATGTGTATAGTGATCGGATATTCGGTTACAATGTTTTTGTAAATGAATTTCGCACTTACAACACTGAGAAATATCACATAGTTTGAGTATATATTTCGAATACAATGCACTCCCCAATCATAATTAATTATTATGGTTAAAAAGGGCTTGAATCATTTGTAACATTCCCCGATATAAATAGCATACTAATTAATGGGTACCACGTACGGTATATAGGCATAATAATCTAACCATAAATGCCGTAAAATAGTGCACAACGCATTTTGAAGTAAATAAACATACATCAGTACGTACATGAAGCGAAAGCCATCGGCCGAAAAGTATTAGGCACTAACTAATGATTTTCCATTTTCAAAATAATTATAAACTTTATGAAATAAATACGTATTGATAGTCTAACGGATTCCAATTAGTTCTAGAGACACGGTACGTATTTTTATGAAACATTTACAAATTATCAGCAATGATTATTTAGAGCAAAATCTTTAATCTTTTTTTTAAGCATTAAGTATACACTTAAGCAGTTTAAATGTCACGAGTTTAACTTTCTAGTACCGAGTTACATTTTGTAAGAAATCAAATCGAAACACAAATTCAGATTGTGTTAGCTGAAATTAATTAAATGAGGAACTTAGGATGCATATATATTCACCAAATACAACGTAGCTTAACCCAGCCTTAATGTAGGGAGTCCAAAATGCAATAGTGCAATACATGAGAAGTGAGAAACTTAGAATATTTTTCACTTTAGCATTCTTATTACTACGTACAAAAAGTATAATTTTACATACTTTTTGATACATCTTACAAACGTCTATGACCAGCTATTCTTTTGTCCGTGAATAGTTTGTTCATAACAAAATGTTAAGCCTGTGAACAGACTATTCACAGACAAGAAATAGTTACAAAATGATTTGTACTAAAAAAATGTGTACACATAGTTTTTTTAACCCGGAAGGTAAACCACCAAAATCTGTAGGGTAAATGTCGGGAAACATTTACCAGAGTTTTATTAAAATAAAGAGAAATACAGATAGAGGGGGGGGGCTAGGCAAATACCCCTTCGGAGAAGGCATACCTCCTCAAAGATACATAAGTGAAAAACAAGAATAAAGAATTTTGGGGGACTAGACCTTACCCAAAATTAAAAATAAAAAAATAAAAAACTCAGGGGCATTGGCCTGGAGAAAAATAGCCAAAAAAATAAAATCTAAGTGAAGGAATAACAAAATAATCCGGATCCGGAGCCTTTACCTTGCTTTAAAGCAAGGCAGGGTGCCTGCTCTTCGGGGCCGTTCGATTGAGAATTGGACGGCCAAGATCTTGGGCTCCACCCCTTCACCGATCCCGAGGTCCTCCTTGTCGCTTCCCCCGCCGTTGGATGCCGCAAGGCACTCTGCCTTATGGCAGAGGATCCTGATCCAAATAATCCATATAAAAGGCCCGTTTAGCACCAATGGGAAGGGACAATGGGCTTCTAAATAATACCAAGTGGGCCACATGAGCATCAGCTAAACAATGAGCAACCCAGTACCCCTCCCTCAACGTATAACCAAACTCGATCCATTTCCTGATTGCGATAACTGAGGTTTCCTAAATTATATACTTCCACCGACGCACCCCTTGTTTTTTTATTCACATATGACTATACGCGTAGTTTTTTTGTTCTTATGAACCCATTAGTCAACATGCTTTGTGTATTTCTCGAGGAGTCGAGGAGCTGACGTCCAATTAGATAGACGTTTAGATCTATATCGATTTTGATAATTATTGAATTAACATCTAAACTCAACACAATAATTTAACATTAAATTCCTTCAGCTAATTGCTATTTGGAATAATTGACATTTCAAGTATGACTCGATTTATGAAACAATAGTTTACAATCAACATGGCCAATATACAGCTTTAAAATTTTCAGTCTAAAATTTAGTTATACACATGAATTTGCGGGTAAAGTTTATATTGATCTTGTGTCCTCGCGGCTAAGGGCCCAACATGTTCTTTGGTGTTTTCGTTGGATAAGGCAAGTATGAAGCACATACAATAGCAAGAAGCTAGATAAGAAGTAAAGTGAGTCAAATTCTATTAAACACTTAAAATAATTACAACATATCATTGTCAAGCCCGAGCTTCGACTTTCTATTCTACCCTGAAGATTACAGAAAAACTAGAGAAAAGTCTATTGTTAAGTATACAAGTTTGTCAATCCAATGCAATGAAATATGTGCAAATACTTGTACTAACTAGTAGGTAGTACACTAGTACGTGGAGAAGTGATGTGTTCAACCATAAAACGCTCATAGGTAGTGCTTTAAGTGCGCCCCCGCCACTTCTATCTTTCCTCCTGATTGCTTTGGATAGCTCTTCCTCAGGCAGTCAATGGTACTGAGAAGGTGTTAGAGAAGGTGTCAAGTGATATCATCCCGACCAATGGACCCGTACGGGTAGGCCTGTAACGACTGTCAATGGGTCGGGTCTAGACCCGGACCCAATCCGAATCCGGCATTTTATTTGAGGGTATGGGTCTGAATTTAGAACCGTTTCCCGGATCCGGATCCGAACCCGTTAAATGATACTCCGGTAGAAAAAATGGGTCTGATATGGTTTTTTTAGTTCTGGCCCGTTTTGGACCCGACCCGTGATGATATAATTATAGTTGTAATTTTTTACATATACACACACAATATACATAGAAATATTTAAACATAAAATAAGGAAAATATCAAATATAAAAATGTTTTAATATTTGTAGACTTAGTTAGTGGTTGGCCCACTATAATGGGATTTTCGCTAATGAGTTATTGCTCTAGGTTCTCTATGAGTTCACTAATATACATAAAACATACTTCATATATTATTGTATACGGGGTAGTTCATAAAGAGTAATGTATAGAACAACATTTTGCTTATTTATATATGATCTCTTCCAACATGAACAATTTCTTGTTATATACGATAGTATTATATTTGTTTGCATATGTCATTTAGTTTTTTTTGCGGGTATACCTGGCCCGGATCCGAAACCCGCCGGATCCAAATCTGGAACATATGTTTAGGACCCGAAGGGTAAATGAGTCAGGATCTGGACCAAAATAATTTCAACGGATATGGATATGAAATGTATAATTCCGGCCCGTATCTGACCCGTTGACAGGCCTACGTGCGGGGCATCCCGAATCGGGTGAGCCAGAAGTGGGTCCTTATGCTAGTTGGGTCCTTATGCTAGTTGGGCTGCCTGGGAGTACCTAGGTCTGGACCCAATATCCCAACAGCGTTATATACTTGAACTTACTACACAAGTTTAAAACATTGAAATATTCATATGCCCACTTCTGGAAAATATACGGATTATATGTTAAAAATAGTCATAAATTAACAATAAATTATTGTCCTTAAACGTTAAAACAATGGCAAATTGTAATAATTTTTTTGATGGAGCAATTTGTAATAAATTCATAATGTCTAACATTTATATTTATTTGGATGGTCAGGGAAATTTCCCTCCTCATACCTGAATCCCAAACAGACGAGGGAACTCGTAAATATTCTACGAGGCTCCTTCCTACAATCCTACGTATCAAAACACAACTATACCTTCCTTTTTTGAGCCTACATACATGCCACGTTCCCTCTTTGCGTGTGCCCTTGCAAATAAGATGAGTGCAACTCTCCAAACATTAAGAATTCAACATTGAATTGGAAGCTCTTCCTTCCCAAAAGCAGATTATTCTTCCCCCACTAACCACACTTTTAAAATATCAATTTCCATCCTAAAAAGAGATGCCCTTAATTGATTCTTTGCTCCACCCATAAACTCCAGGCTCACAAGGCCAATACACAAACACACCAAGTTTTCTTTTCTTTATTCTTCTCCATTTATGGCTCAAGAGCCACAGGTACATATGCTTTCATTATATCACCTTGATATGTTCTAATGAAACCTAGCTCCAAATCCATAGGGATATAATCTGATCTTTCAAGTTGTCCAGAGAATGCAGGGAAGTTGGGTCACTGAGGTACAGGTCCGAATGGACTGCAATGGGTGTGTTCAGAAAGTCAAGAAGGCTTTGAATGGAATTCATGGTAAGTATGTATTAACTGGTTGTGAGAACCTTAAGCTTTCAATATCTTTTTTCACCTTCTGGAAAAGCTATTTTGTGCCAGTAGTGGGAAAATTCATCAAGTACATGGGAGCAGGTTTATAGTCTTTTGAGGTGGCTTTGATGCCTCCTCCGATTGAGGTCCGGCTTTTAACGGCCAACTTTCAGCTGTTGTTGGTAGGCATCTTTTATGAGCTAAAAGTGGTCAAGTGGTCATGTATAGACATAGTAAACATTATTTGAAAAAAATCATGAATATATTGTGTAAATTCACTTTACGTCTGCATTTCATTACACTATATTATGTTTCATTGGGATTTACCACACATTATTATGATAACACATGGAATGTGTAAAGATTAAAGTGCATGCATCCTTCGATAACACATAGAAAATGTCATCATCAAATTATCATGTCATATACTCTCATTGTATATTTGTATAGCTGGCCTCTCTAGTTTGATGGCATGAAGATTGAAGGAACAATGATATGTGCAGATAGGAGTCTAGGGACTATGATGAGTTTCCGTATATACCCTTGATGAGTTAAAAAAATACTTAACTCATTGAGAGTAAGTAAAGTTACCATACTCCTTGCATCCTTATAGGTATATATCATTTTTCGTGTTGAAAATGACATGTTTTGATCTTTGTTGCAGGTATCTCTGAACTATACATTGATTTTCCTCAGCAGAGGATTACCTTAGTGGGGAGTGCAGATCCTGAAATGATAGTGAAGGCAATCAAGAAAATCAGAAAAAGGGCAATCATATGCTCTCATACAGAACTGCCACAGGAAAAACCATCTCAGTCGCAGGAGGTACCTCCGGAGGGTGGCGGTGGCAGCGGGTCACCGTCCAATGAGTCTGTTAATCCTCCGGCAGAAGCTCCACCAGATGAAGCAAGACCACCAATGGAGCCACCGAAAGATCCAACACCTCAGGAGATTAATCAAAAGACTGTGGAAGAAAAGCCATGTCCTGAAACAACCGTGAGAATGACCAACAAAAACCATAGAGATGTTGAAGACGTTCAACGAGTAGTATACAACCATCCAGCAGACTATTACAGTTACGGATATGGTGGGGGAGAACCGCAATGGAATTACCATCACCCACGTGGCGCCGGTATGGGACTCGGACACCAACCGCCTCCAAGTGGTCCACGGCTCCGACATGAGCCCACACCTCTTCCTCCAACCACCAATAGTTCGAAGCTCATATATGAACCACCACTGCTGCCAAATATTAATACTTTAAGGTTTATGCATGAATCACAACCTCCACCTTCCAGAAGTTCAAGAAAATGCCAAGAACCACAACCCCAAAATCCAGAATCCAAACATGATCGTGGACAAGAAACGTGCAACAATCCCGAGTTCAAATATGACCCCAATTTGATCCAAAAGGGGTCACATTACAGACAAGAACCGCTGCCACACTCGAGTAGTAGTTTAAGACTCAAACCACAAGAACAACCGGCACCACCCAACAATCCAGAACCCAAATATGACCGTCGACAAGAACCACCATACAATCCGGATTTCAAATATGATCCATACATGAACCAAAATGGTTCACGGTTCAGACAAGAACCGGTTCCATACCTGAGTAGTAGTAGTAGCAGTTCAAGGTTGAAGCAGCAAGAGCCAACCCCGCCACCACCACCACCTTACAACGCGGGTGAATCCAAAAAAGATCCATCAATGTTGTACCAAAATGGAATGGATTTCAGACAAATAAAAGAACCACTATCATCACCCTACTACAGTTCAGAGTTCAGAAGGGACCCACCTACACAGCGACCTGTATATGTCTCGCATAGCTACAATGCCTACAAGCCACCGCCTTATGTAACTGGATATGAGTTTGCCCGGTCACAACCTCCCAGACAAATGTATAACAGTGGGCCTAACCCATACACAGACAATATGTACCCTATACCAAGGCCTTACACTGGTTATGATTATGCTCACCCACGCAATTCTCCTCCAGATCATTATTCAGAGGATAATCGCAATGGGAATAATAGTGATGGAAATATGTCCTCCATTTTTAGCGAAGAAAATCCGAATGCATGCACAATATCATAGTAACTGGTAGCATACTTTGCTCAAAGTGCTAGAATTCAAAGAACCTTGTGCAATTGTCAAGGAGAAGATATGATAAGCTTCAAAACTCAAAAGGCAAAAGGGAATTTATTCCTCGGTCCACTTAGACTTCTAGGCATGTGTATTACACTATTACCCACCAGACAATTCATTTCTTTTGTACAATAAAAACAACTTTATTCTTGGAATACATTCTGCAACTAAAACTTCATGGACAAGGCCATCTTTTGCAAATAACACTAATAGACAAATATATACAATTAAGCTTTAAAACAAGAAAAAAAAGGAATATTAATATTTATTTATTTATTTTGCATGTGTCAGAGATAAGAAAGCGCGAATCATTATTTCTTGCATCTAAAGGAAGTCCCATTATTCTGTTCAAAAAATCATATAATTCATGTAGGCAAAGATCAAGCATAATATTCTACTAAGATGTAAAATCATATAATTCATGTAGGCAAAGATCAAGCATAATATTCTACTAAGATGTTTCAATGACCAGAGCTAGAGAAGCACAAATTAGATCGAATATGCTGGTGTCAAACATAAGCACCACTGATCTCATTACACATTTTTTCTTTACCATTCTGAATTAACTTTCTTAAGATCATCAAGCATTTAGAAAAATGTTAACTGAAATAATAGACAAAATTGCACAACAATAAGGAGACACAGAACCAAGGCAGCCTTCACCAGAAATAAGCACTGCAGGTTTTAGAGCAATAGTTCTGATCACTCCAATGATTTAACAAATGGTCCTTCGCGATTTGCATGCCATGCTATCAAGCAGTTGGATCAGAGAGACATGTTTAGTGTATTGCTGGACCATGATTTGAATGAACTGTTGCATTAAGAGCAAGAAACCCCTTCAGATTGATAACCACTTCAAAAATAAATATCATCTGCAAGTTCTATCACAAGAGATAGCAATTAGCTATATATGCAGTGAAAAAAGAAACATTGGAATCATAATATCCCATAAACAAATTTCTTAAGATCGTAAGCCATATAAATAGACACCACATCAAATACGAACGACCCAGAAAAATCTCTAGTCCTAATATTCATATTTACTATTTTCTGCTCTTTTTCTCCTCCCTTTTGTCACTTTAAACAAATAATCAATTGTGATTAATTAACTAAAAAGTGCTACCCTTAATTAAAAAGTCCATGCAAATGAATGAAGTTAACTGAAAATGAGTTTCATAATTTCTAATAAACATGCATCAATTTCAGACAAATTCATTTACATGCACAATTAGCACATATATTCAATATTAGTGAAATAGCTACATTTACTTACACAAACTGCTTAATCATCATCACTGCTGCTTTGTGATTCAGATTCATTCTCTAAGCCATAAAGAACTTCATCATCTTCATCCTCATTTTCCTCCATTTCTTCATCATCCAGTAACACATGGCTTTTATTATTAGAAGCCTTCTCAAACTGTAGTATTATTTCAAGTACAAAACCAAATAGTATCAATAAAAGTGTTGAAAGAAAACAGTTTGATTGAGTTCTGAATTTAGTAACCTGTGCTGTTAAAAGTTGCAAACGACCACATAGCCGCAATAAAGAGCTAAGAGCTTCGCCTTTAGACTTGGTAATCTAGTACAGAAGATGAAGATTGAAGCTAATTATACACCAGAATGAGTAGACTTTCATTCAATAATGATAGAGGTAAATGTCATATAAACTCAAACATCGAAAAGAGTACCTTGTTTAAGGAATCTAGTAGATGGGTAAACCGTTCCTGAGATGTGAGATAATAATGGTGATTTACCATGATACAATAGATCCAAGGAAGAATAAATTTTGCCTTGTACGATCTGTTAAGAAGTAAAAAAAAAATTATTAACAGAGACTAGAGAATTGAATTGGCATAGCACTTCTAAAATTGGATTATAGGGAAGACCTGGAATGCCATCCAGCAACCAGCATTTCTAACAAGTTGCATGCAGCTTTGGGTTCCATAGATAAAACAGCTCTCCTCATCTATAAAAGGCAAGGGAATGAAAATAGAAAGAGCATGTTGGATAATGGTAAATGCTAGGGAAATAAAATAAATGTTCCAAGGATAAAGTTATCTTCTTGTGTTTGGTTTATCTTAGAAGATAAAATGATTAATTTTATGAACACATTTTTTCATTATATTTAGGTTCCTTATTCAATGTACAATAGTATTACATAAATGGATTAAGTGAATATATCTAAAATATATTTATTGAGTTTGACCTTATATTTTCTTCCACCCAGTTATGTTTAATTCCCTGTTTTCTTTCCATGCATTTACCAAGTTCTAAAATGATCCAAATTACTGAGACTCGAAAAACTAATGTTTTCAGGAATAGTTATTATATTATTATTTCGTAAGAAATTAATATCCGCAACTTGTAGTCCATAAAAACGAACCTCCTTTTGTGGAACATTGGCCTCAAGATTGAAACCCTTGACTTTTTCAGTTTCAAAACATGGTTTGGAAGTGGGATCAATGTCATTAAGAATTCCCAAAGATCTAAGTTGCTCCTCCATGCATATTGTGACTGCATCAGCACCATCTTGGTCCATGTCATCTGAGTACATGTTAGATGTAACTTATCATTATGTGAAATATAAAATAATCTTTTTGATGTACAGAATAAATATAAAAACTAAGCATAACATTATAGAATAACTTGGCACATTAATGTATAAACTGATACTACCTCTATCCCGTTGGAAGGCTCCTATAGCAAAACAACACGGTTATTTAGACAATAATTAAATAAAGTACTTCGAGTATATTTTGAGAAATAATTTTAATAGGTATATATTATAATGAATAATGTAGTTAGTAGTAATAATTGTGATATTATAAATGTATTGTTTTTAATATTTAATGATTAATTTGTCACTTAAGATTGTTAATTGTTTCCTAAAATGGAAATTAGAACCTTTATATGGGATGTCCAAAAAAGGAAAGTGGGAACCTTCTAATGGGACGGAGGGAGTACATTAAAGATTAACTTGCTAGTGTCATTTCCATCATTAACAGTGATAAATGTGTAAGGTTACAGGATACATTGGGCACAACATACTACTAGACCAGTGATACTATACTTTTGAGATATTTTTCCTTAAATAGAAATAATCAGTGTCCTAGTATATACTATGTATATGAGCATGAATCTGATATTCTGATGAGATATAGGCCACCGAAGAAATATCTGTAGCTTTGTGGTATACTCCCTCCGGTTTACAATATTTTTTATTTGGAAGAAATCAAACAGAACAAGTTGTTAGATGGACAAAATTTTTATAATATTAGCCCTTAGAAACAGTTTATCAACATTAAAGATTAGTTTTGCATAAGGGTCTCACAGAAGGGAGTGAAAGACAACTAAATACTGACATACTGTTTTGGTTTTATAAAATGACATAATGTGAAACAAAATTTTCCTCCATAAGCTGACACTTATTGTAAACAAGCGGGAGAGTACAATAGTGCATACTTGCATGCATGAAGTCAAGAAATTACTAGTGGTTTGAGAAGGACTCTCGTTTTAACCCCCCCCCCCCCCCCCCCTCTACAAAGCAACTGACAGTGAGTACCTTGTGCATATCAAGGAAAGAAATAATAAACCAAACAAGCATACCTTTGCTAACCACTAGCTTAGCTCCACTCTTGACACCAGGAAAATCAAGAATCTGAGGCATAGGAAGTAAGGCATCTTCTGCGTTTGCACGATCTAAGGCAGTAACTGTTTTCAAACAATTCAGAAGTTACTTTCTAGACAACAATTAAGCTTTGAATCAACCATATGCAAAAGAAATTGCATTTAAATAATGTACATGTAAAAAGTCAAGCATGTGCATACTGCTGGAATTGAATGTATATGAATCTTAAAAAGATAATAACAATCAAACGCAAGTCCCTAAATGGTAATTAAAACGTAGAGTCCTAGACACTTGAGAACCAGTTTTGTTTCATCCTACCTCATTAAGGCTATGTTTAAAACTGGGAAAATGCTAGGAAACAAATGCTGAGGAAAGCAATTTTGAGTGTTTGGTTCCACATTGGAAATTGTGGTGACCTGTCAATTCTTAAGGATTTTACATATAGCAGAAATAATTCATTAATTAATGAATTGATGATATAAGTAAATAAATAAACAAATAAACTAATGAATTTGAACTGTGAACAAATATATAAGTTTGATTTAATCAGTTTGAAACTCTTACAAAGTTTCCTCCAAATTCTCTACACTCAAATTTCCTCGCGTTTCCTCCATGTTTTCCTAATTCCCTCGGAACTTTCCAGGTTCCAAACAATGATTAAGAAATTAAAGACAATAAAGAAAATCAAGAGGTAAGCGTGTTGAACTACAATTTCTGTGGATTTTGTAATGACTAACAAGGAACGTGCCAGGAAATGCAACAGCACTCCAGAAACTAATTACAACCCAATAAGCATAGTTGAAAAAATCAAGAATCTCAAGTGTACAAGTAGTTAGTTACCTTGGTTTCGGGATTGAGTAACTGTTTGCTGTTTGCGGGATTGACTGATTGGTAGAAGAAGCCCATCAAGTGAACTGCTCAACTTTACGTCTGTCCCAGACTGCAGGACAATTTTCTCAAAAGACGGCTTAACGAATAAACCATGCGTAAGAAACACACGCCAAGAAGCGGGTTTAACCACATGTTCCAATTTCGCAGCAAAAACACCATGCACAGCACCTTTCGTCTTCCCATCAGAATATACTTTTGTGGGCTTGCAAGACCGCAAATCGTCAATACTCTTTCCATACCAGAAATAACAGACACCTGCCTCGGAGATTGCCAAAACACAAAGACCCATATCATCTTCTTGAGTGCCAATGGACCGACTATCCAAAAAGACAGGTGGGTGATCCATTGCAAGGGAACAGCAGCATGCAGGTTGCTTTTTTCTGCCACCTACCTTCCACACTGCAACGTATCTCTCACCAACAGCAGAAGAAAGCAGGTACTGTCCATCTTCAGAGAATACCATACACCTAACAGGGCTCTATTCAAAATGAAGAAATAGTAAGGTTGTTAGTAATAAAACCGATCCAGACAAAAAAAGATGTTCTTCATTACTTTAAGATAAAATTAAGAGTTAATAGCCGATTTAGCCCCTCTGATATTCAATTAAATTCATATTGGTTTTTGACAAAGAAATTGGAACCAATTTAACCCTCACACATATTAGGT